CTATGAATTTTCTCAAAAACCGTACAGTAATTTTTGGCTGTGGATCACAGGGTGAAGAGTGGCGACAGCCTAGAGTCAGAATCCAGTGAAATATCTGCGTCACCTCTTATAGTTTTCCTGTAATCTGAGCTCAAAGATGTCAATATGTAGAGTACAGTAAAGCAAAATGGGAAGATTTTACTATCAATTTTCTCAAAAACCGTACAGTAAATTTGGCTGTGGATGACAGGGTGAAGAGTGGGGGTCACCCAGAGTCATAATCCAGTGAAATATCTGCGTCACCTCTTACAGTTTTCCTGTAATCTGAGCTCAAAAATGAGAATATTAAGAGTACAGTAGAGTAAATTGGGCAAATTTTATTGTTAATTTTCTCTGAATCATACAGTAATTTGGGCTGTGGATCACAGGGGGGAAAGTGGAGATAAACCAAAACTGGGAGTGGATTGTGAAGTAAAATAGTGTCAGGACACAAAACACTTCGTTTCTAAGCCAGTCGGCACCTATACCGTAATATGCGTAAGAGTAGTGCAACCACATTTTCGGTGCGGCTGGCGGGGCGGCTAGCTTGACTGTGACTTCGTAAGTGAGGGCTCACTTGACCGCAGTTCGTAACAGCCGTATCCATTTGAGGGTGTGTTTACGCGTTTGTTTTCAGTTCGGTGACGATAACGCCATCCGTGAATACAGCAGGTCTGTCGCATGGTTGGAAATTTTCATTCCATCTTTTGCACATTTTCATTTTTAATTTTCATTCCACATGATGATGTTTCAAACATTTCAAAGCCTGGTATACTTGGCTTTTATTTGTGCAATACATATGCGCGTACAAAGCTTGTTTAGACTTGCAAAGATGTTTACACATTCAACAAATATTTCACAAAATTCACTACATACATACAAACTCAATCCGGTGCTCTTTAATAAAATGTACACAATTGAAATGCTACTCTATAGGAATGTACTTCTACTTATGGGATGGAAAGGATAGTATAATCAGTGAGCAACAGTGATATTCACAGTACACATATTCACATTTCAGAGGACTTCGCTGTGCTGTTACTTTCACTGACTGTTATCTTTCCAGGGGCATCTGAAGATACGACTCTGTGGGCTTCTGAGTGAACTGTCGATGTTTTGTGCTGATACATTTTTCCGAGTCCTACTGGAGCTCATATAGCAGATCCTGAACAGTCAGCGCCAGCTCCTGAAAGTTTGGTCTCTCCTCTGCTTTCTGAAAGGAACAGCAAAGGAAACCTCTAGGATTAGGGCCAATATTAAATGTCAACTCAACCGAGAGTTGCAATAAAATATGAAAATTCACTTACATCAAGCCAGCAGCTTGACATAATGCTGTAAACTCTTTCGTTGGCCAACTGGGGGCGAAAGAGGCGCAGGCCCCGGGACACCTGGTCCACTATTTCCGTGTTGTTGAGGCGCTCATAAGGAAGCCGTCCCAGAGTGTACACCTCCCACATTAAAACCCCTAATGGATTATATAAATGTTAGAATTTAAAATCATTATGCTTTCATGCAATTTGAGCAAACAAAACAAAACAAAATATAAAGGTCAAAAACAGATATCAACAGAACAATAAAACATTACATGCATAAAAATATATATTTTTAAATGAAGGTATTAATGCATTAATTGTAATATAAATTCCCGATGTATGTATTTAGTTTTCCATTTAACTATTTAATTACAATTTTAAAGAATACTTTTGTTAGCACATTTATTTTCCCTATGTATTCACCAAAACTGTTTTTATACAGTAGAGTAATTATTAATTAACCTATTAAATCATTTGCACCTTTATTATTTTTAATACTGAAGTTTCTGTGTCCACTCACTTTGAAGTACATCAATAAAACAGTAAAAATATATACAGTATATTACTTACCATATGCCCAGATGTCAGACTTACTGCTGAATTTGCAGTAAAGAAGGACTTCGGGTGGCGACCAGCGGACAGGGAACTTTGAGCCAACCGAGCTTGTGTATTCATCATCTAAAACATACCTGGAAGGTTTGGAGGAAGAGGATTTTAATATTATGCTGATGATGTACCAGTGTGTCTTGTTCTTTTTGCAACTTATGTAAAGTGTTTTACCTTGATAGCCCAAAGTCAGTCACTTTGACAGTGCCATTTCCATCTACTAAACAGTTCCTGGCAGCCTGGAGATAAAACAAACAATACTTTTGGTTCAGGAATAATCATTAAACCTTCAGCGTTATCTTTGGGTAGCAAACAGGATTTTTCTTTTTTAAGCTTTGACACAGTGGATCATTGTCTCTCACCAGGTCTCTGTGGATGTACTGGTGTGACTCGAGGTAGGCCATGCCCTCAGCGACATCTTTACACATCTCTAGCAGCTGGATGCTTGTTGGGTGCTGCTTCAGGCCCTCCTTGAGGTATGTGAGGAGGCAGCCGTTTGCAAGGTACTCGGTCACTATATAAATAGGCCTTTGTTTGGTGCACACGCCATAGAGCTGGACCAGGTTCTCATGGCGAAGCTTCCTTGTTTGAGCAAAAAGAAGAAGGAACTTAAGCACTGTGAGCTGGGTTTCCTCAAAGACATTATAGGAACTACCATTCCCAGTATGACAGATCAGTTTTATGAGTCTTGTGCACAAACAGACTCATCTTAGAGTGAGTTAGATATTCAGCTATTATCATTTAGTTGTGCTTACATCATGATTTTTGCTTCTTCTATGAAATCATCTTCTGACATGGAGCCCTCTTTAATCATTTTAATGGCCACATCATGCTGTCCCTGCCACTTCCCATACTTCACCACTCCAAATTGTCCAGATCCCAACTCCTTGATGAAGGTGAGGTAGCGTGGGTCAATCTCCCACACACCTATGTCAAACAAGAGAAAATAATTGTGCTCTTTTAGCATGTAACGACCTCATTAAAATAACTGCTTGACACGTTGTATATATCTTTTTAGCGCTGCTGCTGAGAGATAAATGAGATGCCACTCTTGGTTACCATAAACACTAGAAACATTTTTCCTTTTATCAAACTAAAAACCAGGTAATCAGGTGCACAGACAGAAAACCATTTTTAATCTTCTGATCTAATACTAGGCACAAAAGTGTAACAACTTTGCCAAATATACTAATAACACAAAACACTGTTAAAACAATGATCAGTATCTTACATGTTAGCTTTTATACACTCTCTGAAAGCTGTTATAATAAAAAAGAATACATTCATAATCCAAGAAAGCAGGTGTAATTAAATTTCATCTGCAGTCATAATCTTACCATAACCAAGGCCTGCTGTGGATGGGGGCCGTGCCCGGTTAGATACGATGTGTTTCAGTCTGCTAACCATGCCTAGTGGGGAGATAACAAAGCCACATTACCTATTAAGATAGTCATTTTTGAAAAGATGACTGGAATATGAATTGCAAGAATGAACTAATTCATTGAGCTTTGACATGTGAGTGAAAGGGCTACAGAAGATGTTAAAAAAGAAAATCAAAAGTGTTTGTGCATTAAAAAGCAACTGTAAATTTAAGTTAAATAAAGTGGAGATTAATAATAAAAAAAGAATAATTAAACCCACAAAATTTCCAATGGCCCCCTCCCCCTCACTCAAACTTGCTTATGACTCATTTCCTTTTTCCTGTTACCGTAACCAAATTTGAAAATGAGTTTATTGTGTAACAAATACCGCAGTATTAAAGCTGAGACTATGTATCCATATGGCCCGGGCAGTTATATTGACCTGCTGCGTTGTGCTGGTGATAGTTGATGAGCTCTGCGATGGTGTTAAAATTATGCTTTTCTGCCAAGTAATACTGGCTCTGCTGGGTGGTGCAGATGTTATAATGTCGGCAGCTTCCAACAGCTTCCCTGTAGAGAGAAGAGTAACACGGGTGGATTTAGTTCGCACGTTTTCACTGGAACCACCGAACAGGAATGATTTATCATATATGCATAATTAGGTAAAATCTCCTCAGTGTTCTGAACAGGGTAGCTCAGTCTTGGAATTTAAAAAAAGTACCGCAGACACATTAGTCCTAGTTTTGCATAAATCATTTACATCTCTCTCCCTCTGCGGGCCACTGTTTCCTCTTTCATTACAAACAGTTCTTCTTTTCATGCGTTCACACATGACCGGAGCGAGTGGATACACTATATAAATGGTAGCAGTGTTTAACACCGCTAAGCTTACTCACCCGCCACCCCTTGTGAGCAGAGACACAGTGTATTTCCCAGCCTTGCTGGAGTCCCGCACCAAGAAGCCTCCATCTTTGTTCTGATTACAACAACATATTTCATAAGTTTTGACTTAAATACAGTCCGGAAACATATTTTTGGTAATGACAGTCATGGGTTTACCTCAGCCTTTAACAGTTTTTCTGCTTGACTACGGTTCATATTCTTGCAATACCAGCTGTCAATAAAAAAAATAAACAATTTTTAATTCTTCCTGAATGTTGTTGTATTAGTTCAACAATAAGAAATTAATTAGAGTGCAGATAAGGAACCAAGAATGAGTTAGGTTAAAAATAATAAAATGTATAACCATATGTGACATTAATACACCTATTTAGGGGCAAAGCAATAACACTGATACTCACTCGAATCTTTCTAGCCCATCTTCAGCTTCTACAACATAATTGCTTGGTATATAACCCTCTTTTCTGGAAAAGAAAAGAACATCAACAGATGGCACATGCAAAACGTGAACGTTTTCTTAACACCAGCAGATTCTAACTTTTACAAATCATTCAAGTGAATCGTATATTATATAAATTCATTTCTACTTGTTATGCAAAATTTATGAACTAACGAGCCGTGTAGCCCCGGAAGCCACTTTTTGAACGTTCTCTTATATAAATTATCTTTAATCTGTGTGCTTCAAAATCATCACTGATTATCTGTCTTCCTCATTATAATGCTTGCAGTTGGTTTACTTTAGCCTCCACTGTAAGTTTCCAGAGTAAACTTGATTTTTGATTTGTCTGATGGGCTACGTGCGGTCACACTCTTCTTACGAGACATCTTTGGGTCACCTCTAGTCAGCTTACCCATATTTGTCTCGAGCTCTCCACCAGTTTGCATCGGACTTTTCCAGGATGGTGTACTCCTCATCCTTCCTTAGCTCCAGGTCTTGTGGTGTCATGGGTGTGTAACTGTACTCAGCTACAACAGTCATGCCTGCAGAGGGCGCTGGTGGGTCAGGAGGCTGTGGAGGTAAAGGACGAGTAGGCTTTTTCTGGAAAAAAAAAAAGATAGCTTTTTGTCATATAGAAGAAAACAGTGTGTACTTGGTGAATGTTCATCTCATAGTCCTAGGTCTATACCTCTGCTGGGGTTGGAGGAAGCGGCTTCCTTGTTGACCTTCGAGATAGCTGTGATGTCACTCCTATAAAGGCATTATTAGATATATTAATTTAAAAGTTTAGGACCTGATCATTTTAGACTTTAAACTAAGGGGAGTCTAATTCTCACCATTCTTACTATCAAGCACTTTGCAACCCATGGCCTGTTTAACTTCCTGGTGGCAGCACAACCACACCCCATCAACCCAGAAGCATGGATGGTACTTCTGCATCAGATCGCTGTTGAAGCGCACCACTGTACACGTATACGGCCACAGAGTTTTTCAGATACACAAGATATGGTCATGTTCATGAAAGATGATACGAGATACCGTGACGAAATGCGAGAATAGACATGCACACTTACATTCTTTGAGCTTCTTTATCCACGCAACCCGGGTGTCTTCAGTCTTAGAAAATATATACAGTGGCCCTTCATCATAAATGACCTGTGGAAAAATCCACAGCGGAGCAAGACGGCAATTTTCAGTATTTTTTTTCTTTATTTTTTTCAAGTTTGGTATTGCAGAATAGATTGCTGCAAGTGTGGCAAAAGTCTCTTCAAATGCGTTAACGGAAATTCAACACATGAACCCACGAAGTGTTACTTTGCTTTTTCTTTAATTAAGACATGTTTAGCTTGAACTTTTACTATTTATGGCAACATTGGCACTAAAAGCCCCTAGCTCATCTGAGTGTGAGAGGAAGTTTCACTTCTTAACAATTAACTTTCACAGTGTTAACTATTGGAGCACCGAACAGTCCTTGGAGAGCCTCACTCATGCTGCTGTGTGCTGCTCGTACGTGTTTTTTTTAATAGAAAGTGTTTGTTGTTCTTTTTCTGCAGCTCTATTCTTATATAATCTTCCTGTTACGTGTTCTGGCCCGAAGCTAAACAGCAGTGAAAGCAAGCAAAGTGTATATTTTATATTAGGTTTAATCGGGTACAAAGCATTTGCATTTGACTCTTGTTTATAACTTCAGTAATGAAAATTGGATTGAAAAATATCTACCTGGAATGGATACATGCGCTCTTGTGGGGCATTGGGCTCTGGCTGGACTATCTCTACACACTTGATCTTCTCTAGGTCAACTGACCCTTTCAGACCTTTTCGCTTCTGCTTAACAGAAGAGGAAACAGTCAGGTAAGTCCAAGATAAAGAGCCAAGTGTTTATTTGGTGGCCCAAGGTTGCCAGCCAACATCAATATGAAACGAACCTTTCTTCAGTTCTATATACATACCATTTTGTCTGTGTCAAAGTCATAGTAGGATATTTTTTCTGCTGTGAGAACAAACATTCTCTCTTTGTAGTTTAAAGGTGAGGTCTTCTTCTTCTGTTGAGATCTTTTAATGAAGACTTCTTCCAGTATAGAGTCTGACATGATTCAATCAGGATTCAGCTGCACTGGAACAAGTGACAAATGGATACGTTTAAAAAGAGTAATCATGGCATAACACAATGCTTCTCCACTAAACAGCATGTTCACACCCCGACTACAACAGCATCTGTAATTCTGCTGAGAGCTGTGACTGTGCTCAGCATTATGATAAAGCCTCAAGTTTTGCTGAACTTTACACTTATTCAGTGTTTTCGTTTCCTTTGAAAAGCATTTTAAAGAATGTAATACCTACCCACTGTTCATAGAGTTGGAGCAGTGCCACTACAACAGGTGAAAGTGGAGATCTGGAAAGAGATGAACAGGCATGCAGTGTTAGCGCATATCGCTGTGTGATTAGGTGTAGTTTGCATAAGCCCTGCTTTTCCTGACAACAACATCCTCGGTTTCCAACATTTGCCTCTGTGGCACATCTGTTTCTCTTAGCTGTTACATCCTGGTCATCTGGATACAGTATTTAACTCCTCTTTGCCTTTGGAATGGATATCAAGTGCCTGATTTGTTGATCCAAAAACCTGGCTAAATACAGTAGTATAGTTCTTTCATTTTATATAACTATACAGTCTAGACATGATTCATTTTTTGTTTTACTTCTAAATAAAATTTGTTTGCTGGCAAACATATCATGTAATACATCACTCCTACTATCAGAAGGCTTCCTTCCCCTCGGGCACATTTATACATTTTACCACGCACATAAGATAAGCAGGCAAATGAAAAAGGCTCTCTTTTTGCTTTATGGCAGTGTAGTGTGTCTTGTTTGCAGCACCTCCTAACCACCAGCGCTGAAATGAAACTTGCACCTCCAAAACAAGACACATTGATAGAATCTGAGTGAAGGGGAGCATACAATAATTAATTGTTGTGGAAATTAGTAACATAGCGACATTAACAGCCTGATATTTTAGGGGAAATATAGCTAGTTGAAACTTAATTCAGTATAAATAGTACTGCAGTGACGGTACACGCAGAAAATCACGACAACTGATGAAAACAAAGCTGAAAGATGTTGATGATAGGTTGGGAAGCAAAGGCTTCTTTGGTTCTGACCAATGCAGAACTAAAACTAAAATCTCACCAAATGACCAGAAGAAAAGCCAAGGTATTCCCGTCACCACATTGTTCTAAAAGTGCAACAAAAGTGCACCAATGCAGGGAAGTTATTTGTTACCAGTTACCGCTCAAATGTGAACTATCAAATTCTCAGACTCACCCTCGTTACACGGCCGAGCGCTCACTGTGTGTCAGTTTCTGTCAGATGTGTGCGCACTTCAACTCAGCCTATTTTCAGCTTAGTGAGAGAGAGAGAGAGAGAGAGAGAGAGAGAGAGAGAGAGAACTTCCTTCTGTCATCTGAACTGTAACTGTGGCACTACGAGAAGCTTCTGTTGCTCTCTGCTAACAGGGAGTCTGACATTTCTTCACACTCGAGTGACACTACCCGCTGGTGTTGTTTGTGCCTTCATGAGCAGACAGAGGTGTTCCCTATTCTGTGAAACATTGTTTACTCATTCCTCATTTAACACGACCCGTCTTTTCTCACATCACTAACTCGAGTGAAGGTCAAAAAACTCTGAGGGCGCACGCCCAAAACTTTGATATGTGCCTCTAAATCAGTGAAGCCTTTTGACTGAAACTGTGCAGCTACCAATGCATCATGGCTACTCAGAGGAGATTATTTTTTTTGTCTTTTCTGATGGGAGTTGACTCATGGTGGCTGACACAGACAAACTCATAGGGAAGTTGCATCAGTATTGCTTTGCAATATGAAGAGAGAAGAAACCCTGTGGCCTGCACCTCTTCTTACCTGACAGTATCTCTCTTTTAAATTTTGCTGTGCATGAGTTGGACATTTGAAAAGCATGTAATGTACCAGTTTTGGCAGGTTCCATTTGTAATTTTACTCTTCTGTGTGTGACCTAGACTATATAATCTAATACAGGCCAACTGTGTCACTACACCCTCTGTGTGAAAGGCAATTAAGTAGCAAATAAATCATTATAAATGGTCATTATTGCATTTTTTTTATTCTAAAGTGCACAAATTTTGACTGCATGATGTCTGATGTGAATGACACAGCAGACACAACCTTATCATGAAAGACTAATGTTAACAGGAACCTGTAAAGATGCTGTGTTTCCTGGTAGATAAGTGCTATGTGCAATAAAATGCGTACTTGTGTATGTGTGTTTGCGTGTGTCTCTGTGTGAGCATACGTAACAAAGAAACAGACAGAGAGAAAAAAAGTGAGTAATGTCACAAGACTGATTCTAACCGCAAAGAATACTCAGGCATATTAAAATACCACATAAGTTTAACATTGTGGTGACTTGTGAGAACTATTTGTCAGGATACGAGAATTTCCCATGATGCACACGTAAGTATTAAAAATGACAGTTCAATGCAAGATACCTGTCATGGAGAGTCAGTAACTGTGTGAAAGTACAACCTGATTAGCGATAGCGGTTTGCTTTACATTTAACCAGTTTCTGCTACAAAGAAAGCACTTTGATGAACAGTGTCAGTGTGTGCACATAAAGGATTATCAGCACTCAGCACACAACAGTACGTTTATGTCCAGAAAACATTCAAAACTTTATACATCGTTAGACTTTAAGCTGAAAATGCCACTTGTGGATTCATAATTTCATTGGTTATTTCACAGGATTTGCATACAAACGAAATTACAGTGGGTTTCAGTTGAGTACTTGCACTAATCTATGCTACTTTTGGCCTCGGTCTTTCAGATGAAGTGTACTCAAAGGTTGCTTCTCTCATTTATAGTTCTGTGAACAAAGTGCGACTAAAAATACTTCCTTTAGAAACAAGTGGTGCTTACCCAGATGTTGAAAAATGACACACATCAGACAACTGCAGATGCTGAAGCTTGAAGAGTGGCATGGACCTTTGCCTCAGTAGCTGGCTTTCCATAAAATGTGTGTTGGTCTGTGATGCAAGAAGCTTAAAACACACCCACAGAGAGGAATCGACAGGGCTTACTTCCCCTTTTTCTTGCTGCTAATTTTCATATCAGCCTTCTGGACAGTTTTGGTGATAAGTGGAAGCGGGCTAAACATTAATGCAAGGCCATATTTGGTTGTTACATATAGTTACACTGTAACCTGAGTGGATTTCTTAGTTTCTCACCTGCTTATTACGTTGTTAAAAGATATTTCAAAATGATAACTTCTGCAGGCATTAAAGCCTTTTCACTGTGAGTAAAATGTATAGCTTGTGTTTTAGTATATTACTGACCCACTGAGTTTTGTCAGGTTTATGCTGTGCACTCCATGGCTGTCACTCTCCTCAAAATTGGGGCCGTTTGCAGTCTTTTCATGGTTTTGGCTTCTTTGCATCTCCGGCCGCTAGGGGGCAGACCTCTCTACGGCTGAGGTCTATTGAAGGGGCGACTTTAAGAACTGCTTCCGGCCTCCTTCTTCCTCTTTCCCTCTGCATCGGGTTGCAGCCATGGTATGCTACCATTACACCTAAAACAAATCTAACTCAATCCTGCCGATTAAAGTACAATTTCTGTATTTGATACACCCGGTCATGTTGATAATGTTACAATGTGCGTAACGATGGCGGTATTGGCCATCTTTGGTATATTTAACGCTGTTATATTGATGGATGCTATCTTAGTGGCGAAACGCCACTGTTGGTTTTTCTACTCCAACCGGCCTTTCTGTCAGAAGCGAAACACTAAACAAGCGAAACATCACAATCAATTAACAGCTACGTCAAAACGTGTTTTGCTTTGTAAAAAGTATTGGAGCATCACTTGTTTACGCTGTTTTCTTTAAAATAGCGATGCTAACGTGTTAGCTTGCCCCAACACTGCCGGCCACAGTTTAAATGATAAACTCGGTGCTTCTGTGTATTAAGTCAATTTCGAAAATGATTGAACAAAACTCTTTGATAGCTGTGCACTTGATTTTTCATAAGTGTTGTGAGTTTTATGGCTTGGGCCTGTTGGACGTGGCTAGCTAGTCCGCGTTGTGGTATTTTGTGTATACTGCACGTCTGCTCAAATGTTATTCTCTGTGTTGTGCAGGTGAACGTCCCGAAAACCCGCAGGACCTTCTGCAAGAAGTGCAAGAAGCACCAGCCCCACAAAGTTACCCAGTACAAGAAGGGGAAGGATTCTCTTTATGTACAGGGTAAATATGTTTGTCCTGTATTTAAGGGATGCACTGGTGTCTAAAGTCAAAAAAGTGTCTGTATGTAAAACATTGACCTGTGATCTGTCAAAAACATCTTTTGTAAGTGATATCAAGTCACTATGAGCCAGGAAGAACGTTCCTGTCGCAAAATACAAGCAGTTAAAAGTTTATTTTTCAGTAGATTTGATCAAGATTTTAGAACAAATTGCACCAAATTTAACAGCATTTCCATAAATATATTTTAAGTAGCCAAAAAAGACTGGATTGATGACGTGGATGGATTCTTGTAAAACAGGTCATTTCTTTATTTTATATATAACTCAGTAAATTCTGCTTACTACATCTACTAATACAAACAAAGATATACACAAAGTCACACGAGCATCAGCAGTAAATTTTTAGCACGACACTGGCCTCATCTATGGCATTATCTGATTATTTGTCGTCACATATTTTGATAAATCAATAGATTAGTGTCTTAGCACTTAATATATCTGCAATCTTTTTCCTATCACAGAAGGGAAATTGTAAGATGTCTGCAAATATGGGCCAATATTTTGTTTTGAACCCATAATGCATCAGTGCATCCTTGCTTTATTTTATTAATTGTTCAAGTATGTGTTGACTAAACTAAATGTTTTTCAGGTAAGAGGAGATACGACAGAAAGCAGAGTGGGTATGGTGGTCAGTCTAAGCCGATTTTCCGAAAAAAGGTAACCATGGCTTTCTCATTCAGTGCTGTAATAAAAGTATGTCCTTTTCCAGATTTATATTTTTCTGCTAATTTTGTCACACTTTAAAGTTTGAGATCATCATCATACTAATTGTTTATATTATAAAAAAATAACCTAAGTAAATAGAAAGCACAGTTTTTACTTTGCCCTGTGTGAAATCATGATTTAAGTGTAATTAGCCACATTTTTTGGGTAGTTGAGTAAAATTTCAATAGCCTCTCCCAGGCCTGAATACTGCCATATCTGTTGATATGAAGACGTCACTTACTTCAATGTGTTGTACAGGTTTTAAGTTTTTAAAAAATATCAAAAAGCGGCACATCACGCCACAATCTAAAGGAATTAAGAAACGATGACAAACAAGACATTGATGTTATTAGTATGAAAAGGGTTGCAATGCAGTTCTCTGGCTTTGGAAACATGGAGAGAGCCATGGTCCACAAATGGAGAAAACTTGTGGGCAGTAACGAACCTTCTCAGGAGTGACTAGCCTATCCAAATTACTCTTAACAGCACATCTATGGCTCATCTCGGAGGTCGCAAAAGATCTAAAAAACTTGCCTCAGTTAAGATCAGAGTTCATGATTCAACAGTGGGAAGAGAGTTGGCAAAAATGGCGTCCATGGGAGAGTTTCAAGGTGCAAACCATTACTGACCAAATAGTTTCACTTTCGCCCACCCTCCCCCTCCAAGACAGAAATATTCTGTGGACTGCCGAGAAGAGTTGAAATTTTTGGAAAATGTAAGTAGTGTTACATCTGGCACAAAACTAAAAGCATTTGATAAAAATACCAATCGAACATGGTGGCAGACGTGTGATGGTCAGAGGCTGTTTTGCCGCTCTGATTGATGGATCTATGAATTCTGCGCTCTGCCAGAAAATCCTAAAGTGTCCAGCCATCTGTTTGCGCCTTTATGTGCAAGTGCCCTCGGGTTATGCTGCAGGACTGATCCAAAACGCAACAGCAAGCCCTACTCAGATTATCTTTATCTAGTGTTAAAATGCTAAGGTGTGACAAATTCACAGGAAAAATGATCATGAAAAGGGTAAATACTATCTCACAGCATTGTACTGTTGGATTGATCGTGTTGAGATATATGTGAGGGGAAATGACACTCACTGAAATACTGTCAAACAGGCTAAGACTACAAAGAAGATTGTGTTGAGGCTCGAGTGTGTGGAGCCCAACTGCAGATCCAAGAGAATGCTGGCCATCAAGAGATGTAAGCACTTCGAGTTGGGTGGTGACAAGAAGAGAAAGGTAAGACTCACATATGTCCCTGGTATTGTAAAGATTGAAGTTAACTATTCTTTACAACATATTCTTTATATGAACTTTATTTCAGTAATACTTTTCATAGTGGGTTTAATCTCGGCTAAAGCTACAGTTTGGTGTCAGAATCATCCCACAGAAATCTGTCATCAAAATATTCTGACTTCTTATATTTGTAGGTAATTATTTTGTTACACATTTAATAACCTCATGTTCATAACCCACTATTAGTTTTTCATGCGACATATTGACATCTGTTATGTTAATTATGATAAATTATGGAACCAACACGGTGACAGCTATAAAAATGCACATTTTGCATATCAGCTGTTTTTTCACTTAAACATGGATTTCCTGTTTGGAAAACATAGTTTGCATAAAGCTGTTGTTACACATGCACACTAGCTTTGCACGCTAAAGATGGATATTGCAAGATATTCAAAGAAGGTGCACGAGAATGCAAACGTTGGATGCAGTTTGATCGGATATGTAATTATCTTGAGCCTATTCGCTCTCTAGTCGTCCCATTTCCTGTCAGAATTATTTGTTCTGGCAATTGTTTAATTCTTCAGATGTTCATATAAAAATATGGATTTTAGAGTATTTGTTGGCGCTTCTGCCTAGGCAACACTCTTCAAGAGGTGGAAAAATACCCCAACAGTTTTTTCCAGTAGTGTGAAAGCGTCTGACACGAGCTCTGTGTGTTAGACGAGGGAAAGGGCCAACCCTGACCATGTCCGACTCGATTCTGCCCACCCTTTTCTGATGTAATTAGTGAGAAACTGCTTTTGAAATTGAGTTGTGAAAGAGGCATGTGTCTGCATGTATGAACGCATTTCACACGCTATAGCACCAGAATTGCATTAGGAAATGTTTGTTTGCTACACTTGATAAATGTGCAGCCCAGCTTGGATTTTAACTGGAGCATATTTCGCTTTCAGTGACAGATTGTTTTTCTTTTTGTTGTGGTTTTTTGTGGTTGGTGGTAAATTGTATTTGTTTTGATGAGATGGTGACTCAGGGCTGGCTGTTGATTTATTGTGGTGGTTAAAATACGATGCATGAGTTGATCTCAATATATATACTGTCAATACAGTTATTAGTTTTTATTTATTTTTACAAGGTTTGCTGTTGAGCTTGTCTTCTTTGTTTTTTCTTCCTTCAATAGAAGCTCTAATACATGATTCTCAAATTCATGATTGGCTACCTTTTATTTCAATTTCAAATCACAACAACAGTTGCCTCAAGGTGATTTGGCTCCTGTGTCCCCCCATTACTCAGTATTCATCTGTTGGGTTACCTCATTAATCAGACTTTACTCTATTTAAAAGCTTCTGTCTTCCTCATCAGCAGCACAAAAGTTAAGTCCTATCCACTCTGTATGCATATGTGGCAGGACTTTACAACAGGCTGGTAAAGCTGATGAATGTGAAGATTCTGGGTTTTATTTAGTCTTATTCAACTACAGTACAAAAGTCAGAATTTAATTATAAATTCATGGCAGTCACCACTGTAAAGTAATGCAAATATAAGTTGCACATTCTCACAAATGTTTCCCTCTGTTTTCTTACAGGGCCAGGTCATCCAGTTCTAAACTGTGGTCCAGTCATATGGATGAAGTTGTCACTATTTTCAATAAATGGATCCAAACATACTTTTGAGTGTTTGAGTTGAATCCTTTTCTTTTTTTTTTTCCTTGTACAAAAATTTGTCTCTTATGGTAATTTAACCTTTCAGTAGTCTAGACAGTTAACAGAAAGTGTTTAATTTATTGGATATAAATGGGATGAAGTGTGA